TGATACAGAACTATGAACAAGCAGTTGGGAGCAGGGAAAGAATGGCATCATCTTTTAGCAGCACTGGCACCCTTAGATGCTTGAGGACCTACAGCCACATGGCTAGGGTACTTGCTTGGTGTGACCTCAGTGAGCAGTGAAGTTTATTGAGCTGTTCTTGGGCTGTATGAAGGAGGCATACAGCCTCCTTGCCCAAACCTCTGCCTTGTTGAGTGAATTTTCTTTTTTTATCCTTTGCAGGTTCATTACAAAGGCGACAAAGTTTGTTCATACAAGTAATGATTGAATCAAGTGCAATATGCAGCTATGAATAATATTTTGATGTGTGATAATTAAAAAAGTTAAGTTTCAGAAACTATTGAACTAATTTTCCACAAGTATACTGGCGAATAAGATCATTTACATGCACAGCTCCAAAAAAAGAAAGATGAGTAAACAAAGGTTTTTTGAGACCTCTAACTCATGTAGGTTATTGTGTGGAAGGCCCAGGTAATGCAGGCTTTACTGCAACTTATATACTATTAGGGTGACTTGTCCTTTTTTTGGCTGGGATAGAGTTAATTTTCTCAGTAGCTAGTATAGTGCCATGTTTTGGATTCAGTATGAGAATACTGTTGATAACACACTGATGTTTTGACTGTTTCCGAAGTCATGTTTATCCTAAATGGAGGACTTTTTTGTATCTCATGCTCTGCTAGTGAGGAGGTACAAAAATGAAAAGAAAAGAAGCCTGTGAGGGAGCATAGCTGGGACAGCTGACCCAAACTGACCAAAGGGATGTTCCATACCATATGACATCACACTCTGTATATAAAGAGGGGGGAAGAAGGAGGAAAGGGGGAATGTTTGGAGTGATGGCATTTGTCTTCCCAAGTAACTGTTACACATGATGGGGCCCTGCCCTCCTGGAGATGGCTGAACACCTTCCTGCCCATGTAGTGCTTTGCTTGTGTGTGTCTTTTGCTTTTCCATTAAATTGTCTTTACTTCAACCCATGAATTTTCTACCTTTTACCCTTCTGATTCTCCCTGGTGGAGGAGTGAGCCAGTGTCTGCGTGGGGGTTGATGGCTGGCTAGGGTTAAACCATGCCACTTGTCCACACATCACTCAAATCTTTCAGCTCTTTCTCATATTTGGATAATGCTGACACCAAATATTTTTTGGTATAATGGTACTTGCAGTTTTGGAGGGTTCCTGTAAATATATCCAGGTCAGGATATGTGTTCCAGACACAATGTAGATGCACGAGTACTGTAGCTACACAGTTGCAGGAGTGCCAAAGATGGAAAATGGGACCACTTTTCTCTTGAGAGATGCCAGTGAGGGACTGAGCCAAAAGCTTTGCCATCTGTACGCCGCTCTTCTCACCAGTAACTCCACTAGGTGGTGCCGTCAGGAAAGTTAAGGGCGCTTTACACTGTTCGGGATCACAATATTTACATTATTGGAACTCCCAGAAACAGCAACTGTATACCAAGATCCTAGAGCCCTGGGTGCTGAAGAAACACTGAACAAAGAGTAACCTGAGTGTAGTGATTGCTAATGGATAACAGTCCTTCAGACGGCAAATTTGGGAATAATAGCTCTAAATAAATATTTAAACATTTCACTGTACTGCAACCAATACCTTGTCTGACCCAAAACATTCCACACTTAATTAGTTCCTGCAGATTCTTTTAGATAACAAAGTACAAGGTGGAATTTGTGCGGCAGAACGCTTGTATTACAACATACTTTATGGCTTTTATAATAAGGCAAATATGCAGATAAGGGAAGGCTTGTAATTACCTCTCTGAATAGCTGCAAGGCAATCTTATATTAAAGGAAATGGGAGAAGACTCGATAGACATGCTGGTTCTGCATTCTTTCTTTTTGGTAAACATGGTTCAATAAGTCACTTTCAGCATAATTGTATTTTTGCCTTGTGTATACAACTATAAACCATGGCTAGCCTTTGCAAACAAAGATTTGGGAAGGGCTCTACCCACATTTGCTGCAAGCGCGCTGGTGGCTAAAAAGGCCAATACGAGATAGACAAGTCCGGTTGCAAAAGGCACAGCAGAAAGACTCCTTAGGTGGTATTGGCAAGACCTGATTCTTTCTGCATTGTCTTTTCTCCTCAAGAGTGATCCTGCATGCGTTCTCAAAGGAAGCAGCAGCATTATAGATGGTGTGTCTCCAGACCTCCTGATTGGAGGCCAGAGTAGACCAGTTATGGTGATCAATATGGCCAAGGCTGAGATGTTGTTTCAGGGAGTCCTTGTATCTTCTCTTCGGAGCTCCTCTCTTGCGACAGCCAGTGGCAAGTTCACCATAAAGATCTTAGGAAGGCGGTGGTCTTTCATCCTTGAGATATGTCCTGCCCAACGCAGCTGTGTTCTCAGCAACATGGCCTCAATACTTGTGACTGCTGCTTGTTCTAGAACAGACGTATTAGTCACATAATCTGACCAGTGGATGTTTAGGATTGTACGGAGACAGCGTTGATGGAAGTGTTCTAAGAGTTGCAGGTGGTGGCGGTAGATGACCCAAGATTTGGATCCATATAAAAGAGCAGACAGTACAATGGCTCTGTAAACACTGATCTTTGTACTTTTCTTCAAGTGTTTATTTCACCGGACTCTTTTATGGAGTTTTCCAAAAGCTTTATATGCCTTTGCTAACCTGCTGTCTATCTCTCTGTCAGTCTTACCGTCCGAGGAGATGAGGCTACCTAGGTAATTAAACTGCTGAACTGATTTGAGCTCTGATTCACCAATGGTGATATGGTGGTGATGGAAGACTTCCTGAGGTACAGGTTGATAGAGAACTTCAGTCTTCTTTAAGCTGACTTTCAGTCCAAAAGCCTCAGCAGCATCTGCAAAGCAGGATGTTAAATGGTGCAGCATCTGCAAAGCAGGATGTTAAATGGTGCAGAGCTGCTTCTGGGTGGGCGATGAGGGTGGCGGCATCAGCATAAAAGCAGCTCCCGGACAAGATGATTTAAGGTCTTAGTGTGGGCCTTCAGTCGCCTTAGGTTGAATAGGCTTCCATCAGTACAATATCAAATGTAGATACCATCTTCATCATCGAGGTCTGCCGTGGCCCTTTGGAGCATCATTCTGAAAAAGACTGTGAATAGGGTTGGTGCAAGAACGCAGCCTTGTTTCACACCATTCTTTATTAGAAAGGGCTCAGAAAGTACATCACCATATCTGACTTGGCTGCGCTGATCCTCATGGAGTGAGATGATCATTTTAAGGAACTTGGGGGGACATCCTAAACGTTCCAAAACCTGCCACAGACCTTTTCTGCTCACAGTATCAAAAGCCTTGGTGAGATCAACAAAGGTTACATAGAGACCTTTGTTCTGTTCCCTATACTTCTCTTGCAGTTGTCTGAGAAGAAATACCATGCCTGTGGTACTCCTGTTGGCTCTGAACAACTATAAATACAGCTTATGGGATAAATAAGAATTTATGATTATTGAATATTGTAATTTTAATTTTTTTTTCATTACTATCTTTCTGTTGGAACCTTACTCCTGTGATATCCAGCTTCAAATTTTGTTTATTTAGGGATGTACAATGCTCTGCATGTGGGTTTTTGTGCAGGAAGTTGAGCGGCATTCATCACAACAGGCTATTTGGCCCGGCAGTGCAGTTTTACACCTTTCCCAAGCCTTTTCTGTGCACCTCAGGGCGTCTGCTGGCAGCAGCCACATCCGTAACCACAGGTCTCGCAGCACCCAGTGATCAGCTCCTAGGATGAATACACATCTACTTCCACTTTTAACCACTGTTTCCCACCACACTGGCGAGACAGGAGGGTGTCCTCAGCCCACACACTTCCCTCTAACTTCCAACAAAACGCCGACTGTAGTTTAGAATGTGATAGGATTTTTCCACTTGAAGCCAGGAGAATCTTTACCCAGAAATAGCATGTACACAGGATTGTGTGAACGTGCCACATAGGGCCAGGACTGTCTCAGTCCTTACACGGATGGGGCAGAACTGGAGTGGGTCCAGCAGAGGGCAACAAAGATGATTAAGGCCCTGGAGCATCTCTCTTATGAGAAAAGTCTGAGGCAGTTGGGCATGTTCAGCCTTGAATGAGATGATTGAGAGGGAACCTTGAGCCTTGAGATGACTGAGAGGGGACCTCATCAATGTATGTAAGTATGTAAAGAAGAGTGTGAAGAGGATGGAGCCAGGTTCTTCTCGTTGGTGCCAACCAATAGGACAAGAGGCAATGGATAGAAACTGATGCACAGGAAGTTCCACCTGGATATGAGGAAGAACCTCTTTACTTGTATGGGTGACCAAGCACTGGAACAGATTGCCCAGAGAAGAAGTGGAGGCTCCCACACTGGGGATATTCAAGAACCATCTGGACATGATCCCGTACCATGTGCTCTCGGATTACCCTGCCTGAGCAGGGAGGTTGGACCAGATGTCCTACTGGGGTCCCTTCCAACGTGACCCACTCTGTGATTCTGTGAGAGCCCACGAGCGGCAGAGGTGGGTGGAAGAGCATACACGAACCGAGGAAGCTCGGGCTTCTTCAGGAACTGCCTGGGGTTTGTTCCAGTAAAGTCCCATGACCGCACAACGAGGGAAAGGGGAAGCTGCCGACAGAGGCACGAGCCCTCAGCCCGCTCTGCAGCCCCCGGAGGACAAAGCAGGGGCCGGGGGCTCCCCGGGACCCGACTCGCGGCCCCGCAGGGGCCACACGGGACCGCCGCGCCGGGGCCACGTGACGGCCGGCGGCCAATGGGCGGGGGCGGCCGCGGGGCCCCGGCGCTCCCCTCCCCGCCTTTCCCGCACGCGCCTGCGCCCTCCCTGCCGTAGCCCCGCGGCGGCGGCGACCGGGCCGAGCGGCCCCGCCCCGCCCCCTGCCCGCGCCCCGCCCTCCCCTCCCGCGGCTCCCGCTCGGCGGTGGCGGCAGGTGAGGATGCGGCTGGGCGGGCGCCCCCGCGTCGGCCGCGCTGCTGGTGGCCGCCGGGGCTGAGGTCGCTGCCATGGCTCTGCCGGGCGCCGGAGCGGCGGCAGCCGCCGGCGGCGGCGGGAGTTCGTGCCCGCTGTGGACGGCGCTGTACGACTATGAGGCGAGCGGCGAGGACGAGCTGAGCCTGCGGCGGGGGGACGTGGTAGAGGTGCTGTCGCAGGACGCGGCCGTGTCTGGCGACGACGGCTGGTGGGCGGGGAAGATCCGCCACCGTCTCGGCATCTTCCCGGCCAACTACGTGACCCGCCAGCCCCGCGGCGGAGCGGCGGCGGGGAGCGGCGGGCGGGGGGATCCCGCGGGGAGCCTGACGGAGATCGACTTCGAGCACCTGGAGCTGCAGGAGATCATCGGCGTGGGCGGCTTCGGGAAGGTGTACCGGGCCACCTGGCGGGGCCGCGAGGTGGCCGTGAAGGCGGCGCGGCAGGACCCCGACGAGGACATCACGGCAACGGCGGAGAGCGTGCGGCAGGAGGCCAAGCTCTTCTCCATGCTGCGGCACCCCAACATCATCGCCCTGCACGGGGTTTGCCTGCGAGAGCCCAACCTCTGCCTCGTCATGGAGTTCGCCCGCGGCGGATCCCTCAACAGGGCCCTGGCCGCCGCCCCCGGCGCCGCGGCCGCCCGTGGGGGCCGCCGCATCCCCCCGCACATCCTGGTGAACTGGGCGGTGCAGATCGCCCGCGGCATGCTCTACCTGCACGACGAGGCCATCGTCCCCATCCTGCACCGGGACCTCAAGTCGAGCAACAGTGAGTCCCGGGCGGAGTGGGGGGGAGGTGAGGAGGGACCATCGGAGCGCCGCGGCAGTGCAGGCGACAGGGGTGTCCCCTCGTCCCTTCGGGTCCTGGCCTGGCGGCGCTGGCCGTGTCCGCGTTGCGGGGGCGGGCGGCCAGGCCTGGGCGGGCTCCGTCCGGGAGCCCTGTTTCACTGAGAGACGGGTGTCGCAACTCGGGCACCCTGTGCCAGGAGCTTGGGCCAGCGGCAGGTTGGTTGCCGCGGCTGCGAGCTGGATACGGACTCGTGGAAGGGTCGGGAGAATCCGGGTGTACCTTTGGTCCTGCCCTCTCACTTAAAGCGGGATAAAATCCTGCGCGGAACCACAGTTTCAAATCCGCAAAGCTATTTTTACTCTGATGCGTTGCGCGGTCCTGTCTTTTAAAACTTACAGGGAACCAAGCGCCTTGGAAAGTTTTAGTAAGGGTATCACTTCTGTTTCACTGCCAAGTAATCATACGTGTTTCTGGTTTTCCCTGCATGGATTTAGCATCGCTAAAATTTACCCACTTGGCAAAACATTGAGGTGGAAAGGACAGTACCTTAAAACAGTAGAAACTGTTGTGCAGATGCCGGATTTTGCTTTCATCCCTTGGCATTGACAAATGCACCTGCAAGAGTGAGGGAGTTGCTCAATTCATGCTTGATGGCTCCTCGGTCCATCTGACAATACAGAAGCATCTAAGATTTTGGCAACTGTGGTTTTGGAAGGCTGGCTTACTAGAGTAGATGTGTTTATGACTTTCTGTTATAATTGTGTTTTGAACTGGTGACCTGAAAGTGGAAATCTGTGCGTTTGCAAAAGTGTCTGAAGCCATCCCTACTCTTTCCTTTTTGTTCTGACTGTGCCAAAAGTGCAGCAATATGCTAGTCTTTTTTTTTTTTTTTCCAGTTAGGAGTCTTTAAGTAGTGCAGTAGAAATAAAAAAGCCTCATTCAACTTTGAAGCACTTTGTTTAAGAGGCTGTGTGTCTTGAAGGTCACCATGCATGGGCTATTAAGACAAGACTCAGTCATGGGACTGACTGTTCCTGAAAGTACTTTCACTATTTGATAAAGAAAGGACCTAGCTCAGCTGTGTTTGTGGTTCTGTTTGTAGCACAGACGATGAACTTTTGGACTTTAGCGTCATGACCGACACCTTAATTTCTAGCAAGTTGTCTGTAGGCAGCTTGTGCCCTCCTAATTTCCTGCTGTGTTCAGAGCAAGCTGCTGCACCTTGAGTATTTAGTGGCTTTTCTTAGAGTGGGTTGCTGCATGCTAGGAGCGCGCTAAGTGACAGTGGCAAAATTTGTGTCTGAAGTGAATTCATAACACCGTGGTTTAGCATAACACCTGGAGTTGAGTTGGGTACTGCTGAGAGCTGATTACCATTATCATCTCTTTATATATGGATAATGGCAGAGCATTTAAAAAATACACTTTTGATTATAACCTCAGTATATGTGTCCATTCACTGCTTGCATTACTAACTCCTGTTACAGATGCACTTCACTTGAGCTATTTAGTTCTCTCATCCTTAGTTCTTAATCTTAGCAAAGTTTGAAGACAGTATTGAGTATGCCAAATAGAGTTATGTATCTTGATTATCCAACTAAATGATCATGTTGGGAGATGGTGGTGTGCTGGTGGTACTGTTCAACAGCATGAATTTAAAATTACTGCAAGTCATAACAGTATCCCCTGTTCTGGTAACTCATCAATTCATCAAAGATTTCACTTCATTCTTTTACTGTAGTCTTTTGCAGTCTTGCACAGCGGGAGTGGAACACTGCCAGGGTTGACTGAGCAACTTGCTTGGTGTGGATAGCAACAGTTCCACAGTGGCTGTAGCAGCAAATGGGTCTTTCAGCACCCATTCCTCACCTGTTCATTGCTGCTTTCATTGCTGGTCCAGTGCTCTCGATTAAGTCTGTCTAGGTAGTATATGAATGTATCAGTTCTGTGCTAGCTTAGTTATTTTTGTTAAGAAGGATTTTTTTCTTCCTCAGACAACAAATTAGAAAAATGGCTGCCCTTAACATGGCATGGTAAGGAATGCTCCTCAAACTATATCCCTAGTAAATTGGCAGGAACTAATTTTTCCAGCTAGGGAAATGGAGCCCCCTTCCACCAGTATATTTGATCCAGAAGGGGTACATGTCTGGGCTTGTGGTTGGCAGGTGATAGGCAAAGCAAGTGTCTCAAAGGCAAGTGTGTTACTTCATGCAATTTTAGGGAGCTGGGATCTATAGGATAGCATATCTACTGTGGGTTTGCTGATACCAAATCGACAGGACTGGAGAGAAAGTGCCACAAATGGAAGAGCCATGAGAACCAAAAGGGTTTATTAACAGCAGTGACCATGTAAGTTTGTATGCTCTAGTTTCATTGGGCTCCTTTGGGGAGATGGGAAAAGGTTTTTGCTTCTGCCAAAGTAAGGGAAATTCATATATACACAAATGTTTTTTGTGTATATTGGGAAGAAAAACTAACAAACTTGGTTTTGAGGGCTGAACAAGGAAGTAAACTCCTGAGTTTTGTTGACATCAGAGTTTCTTCAGTCCACGTAAAATAAATGTAGTATTAAACGTAGTATTTAAAGGTTATTCAGAAGTAGACAAAACAAAGGTGTAAAGAACACTTTTAGCTTTAGATATGTGTAATAAAGTGAAACATAGTAACCATGGTCTCTAATGTTAATTTACAGGTTGTGGGTGCTTTGTAAACCTGGTTTGGCTGACATGGGGAGAAGTGTCTCTGACTAGGATCATGGTCTATTTCGAGGATAACTTCTCATAAGCACTTCTTATGTTCTTCAATATACTTTAAAGAATAAAGATATAATGTAAAATTAAGGATTAAGAGCTGGACTTTATGTAAAATCAAAATAAAAAATTTGAAAGAAAATCTGATTTTTTTAAACCATTGTTGATAGTCAGTGAATTCTGGATTAATCAATACTTCAACTGAAAAGGAGATGTCTTAAAAATTTGTGAAAATATTTGAATATTCTTAACTGTGACTCCTAGGTATGAGCTTAGTCTTGATTAAACATGCCAGCTGATTAGGAAAAAATTATGTTTTACTGAAAATAAAAACAGAAACTCATCTACAAGACAAGACACTAATAGTTACATGTATCTTTTTACCACATCTCAGCTATTTTGCTGACTCTTTGAAAGGGCAACTTTTTTTCTTGTGGAAAATCAAGTTGCTTGCTTCTGGGCAAGGACATCCCATTGGTTACAAGACATATGGTTGTATAAAGGTTCAGTGTAGCCTCTCCTGATTCTTTTTTTAGTATCCTAAAGAAAGCTAGTAATGCATTCAGATGGAGTATGCCAGGTTTTCACCTTCCAAAGTCTAGTGTAGAGAAAGCAGAGATTTGTGATTCTGAGGTTGATTTCAGACTATGCAGTACTTCTGCCTTTTAAAAAATGCACTTTATCTCTAGTGCAGCAACCTTGTGTACTTCTAGGAAACATTACAAAAAGTTCAGAATATCTTATTTATGGCATAGACCCATCCATGATTACAAAGTTGATTATGTGTAGGTTATGTGTACTAAACAAGGTACAGATAAAGTGCTCTGTTCTCATTTGTTGTAGGATATGCAAGTAGGGTTCAGTTTGCTATGGCTTTCACCAGCACCTCCAGCCCAGGATCCTTTGCAGCCCTCAGCTCTGTGAAGTGGTTAAGTTTACATTACTTTTTGAAATTGTCAAGGTCAGCTTGAGTTTCAAGGATTGTTGTATAAGACCATGGACATGGCAGTGCTAATGAGAACAGTACGTGGCATCTGAAGGAATCAAACATAAAAGAGAGCAGTGAAACTGCAATTGGACAATCCACTTCAATGTGTTCTTGAAACTGGTATCATGAAAAGCAGTCAGAAAATAGAAATCATGTGGTTTTAAAACCTTAAAGGGAATTGCAATGTGTTTTGACAGAACTGTTGAATTGGTTGCTTTTGATGCGGCAAGGTGTCTTGGAGTTTGAGAAGAGCCAAGAACAAATTATCTCTGTTTCTTTGCTTTTACAGATTATTTGCAGCAGAATTGCTGGAATTATGCTATTAAACACCTTTAAAATAAGATGGAGATGTTTTCCAGAGTTCATAAAATCTAGTTTCTCTGTAACTTCTCCACCTAGCAACTTCAGGCTAGCTGTTCAGGGAGAGGAAGAAACTAGCTAAGCCTATCTGCTATCTTCTGAACTGATTTTACTTATTCTGCATAATTTCTCTTAACTATTTTGAAGAGGCTAGACTTGCTTGCATCACAAGTAGAGCTGTAAGGATTACCTGTGTGTTATTAAATGTTTGAAATTCAGAATCTAGTACAGTTACGAAGAGAATTAAAAATTAAATTCTATTAGAATTGTCTTCGGTAGTTTGGGGGGAGAAGAGAGACGGCTTTTCAGCAGATTTGATCTTCTAGCTTTCTTTGGCAATAAAGTTCCAAGGTGTCCTCTAATGGCAGTGAAACTCGGAGGTTTTTTCTGTCAGTAGCACTGTGCTTTTCGCTGCTCATCTGTCACTGTAACAAAATGGAAAAATCTGATGTTCTGTAGGTATGTATCCCATATCTCTCTCTTCTCCTCCTGGTGCTCCCATTCATGGAATTTGCACTCTCATATTCCCTTCCACATCCCCATTGTCCCTGCTGGGCTTAGCCTGGCTGCCCCAGGGTGCCCAGCTCCAGTACTAGGTAACTCTTGTACCTCCAAGAGAAGGCTGCAAATGTTGTAATTGGTTTGAAACTGCTTGTATTGCCTGGCTGGCTGCTAAGCTCCTAGTGGCTGGCCCCTCCGAGGTCTGGAGGGGAATGGATGTTTGTTCTGGCAGAACTAACTGAAGTTCCTACTCCACAAGGCAACTGGCTTTCATAAAACCCATAGGAACTATATCTTTGAGAATATGGTATTGCTTTGCCAAATGTTAGTCACGTAAAATAGTGGGGCCAGAAGTTATTTAGCAGTTTAAAATTCATATG